GTGTACAAATGAATGATTCTGAGTAAGTATTCAGTTGTGCAACCATCACCCTAACCTGGCTTTCAAACATTTTCATCACCCGGACTGTGCCCTTTGATAGTTAATCCCCACCACCATCCCCAGTTCTAGGTTCTAGAAAACTACGAATTTACTCTCTGTACAGATTTGCCCTTTCCATACATTTCCTGTGAGTGCAAACACAGAAAATGTAGTCTCTTGCGTCTGACATCTTTCGCTTAGCATACTGGCTTTGAGATTCACTCATGCTGGGCATGTATCAGTATTCCATTCCTTTTTACTGCTGATTCGTGTTCCATGGTGTAGACACGCCACATCTGGTCTATCCGGTCACCAGCCAATGGACATTAGGCTACCGGGAAGCCAATGGACTGTTTGGCTACCGGGAATCACACTGCTGTGAACATTCACATCCAAGAATTTGTGTGGACATTTATTTTGATTTCTCTTGGGTAGATTTCTAAGAGAGGAATTACTGGAGTCAGGTGATAAGATTGTTTTGCTTTCTTTAAAAACTCTGTTGGCGGGCGCCTGGGTGGCTCAGATGGTTAAGCGTCTGCCTTCGGCTCAGGTCATGATCCCAGGGTCCTGGGATCGAGTCCCACATCAGGCTCCCGGCTCAGCGGGGAGCCTGCTTCTCCCTCTGACCCTCTCCCCTCTCATGCTATTTCTCTCTCGCTTGCTCTCTAAAAAATAAATAAATAAAATCTTTAAAAAAAAAAAAAAAAAAAACTCTGTTGGCTGTTTTCCAAAGTGCCTCTACGGCAATGTTTGAGGCTGTTGGTTAGGCCAGGGACGGGTGTACAAAGACGAACAAGACAGCTCCCACTCACAAGCAGCATACAGTCTAACGGGAGAGAAATGATCAGTAAAATTACTGTCCAGTGGAGTTACTTCCTGATAGCTCCGAAAAGGTGGGGTCTATCAGGCAATTGCACAATTAAGATCGTCTAGAGCAGAAAAAGAGAAAGACACAGGGCTTCTTCCCTTCAAACATTTCTTTGAGCACCTAATATGTTTCTGACAGAAAGCGGAGATGATTAAATATGAATACGGTCACGCTTCAGGGATTTTGTTCAGCTGTGCGGAACAGAACACCTCACATTACTAGAACTTACATAAATAAAACGTTGCTTGTCTGTCACATAACTAGAAACCTGGAGGCAAGGAGTTCAGGGCTTTGCCTGCCTCTCTGTAAAGTCAGCAGGGATTCATGCCCCCCTCCAGGTTTGGGTCCCCCAAAGGATCTGGCGCTTGTCCTCAGACTTGCAAAACAGGAAATAGAGCTCCAGCCTCCATGCCATCATTCCACTCAAGGACAAAAGAGAGTGTGCTAGTTGAGTCTGCTACTTGGCTTAACTGAGTCACCTCCCTGGACCTCCCCTACATCCACTGGCCAGAATCGGGTTATGCTGCCCATAAGGGAGGCCAGGAAATGAGTGTGTCATCTGGGCATACTGCTGTCCTCAGTAAATTAGGAGTCCATTAGTAAGGAAGAAGGGGAAAATAGGCATTAGGTGAGCAACCCACAGGTCTGCCTCTGTCTTTCCTGAAGTAAATAATCAAGCAAAGAAAAGAGCAGGCCAGGGACACGAGGGACACAGTAGGTGTTCTGTATACCTTACTCTGGGCTCTCTCCCCTCCTCCTCTGAGCTGAACCCATGAGAGACTTGGGAACAGGTAACGTATTTGGGAGATGATCCCAGGAAACAGGCAGAAGGGAGAAAGGAGAAGAGATGAAGGAGGCCATCGCAGTTCAATGTCACGGGGACATCTGGGCAGCATGCGAGGCAGCCCTGCATGCCCACCGGAAGGACAGGCGGCTGGAGAATTTATTCAGTGGCTCCAGCCCTTATCAGCTGAGTTTTGCCCCAGATGGTGCTCACTCCCCTTCACTTCCAAGCTGAACTTGATCCAGCTAGGAGGGCCACCACCTAACCACTCCCCCACATCAGGGGAGATCCTGAAACACCATGTGGGGGCAGGGGGGGAGCCCTGGACATGGGACCCAGCAGAGTGACTGGAAACTGAGCGCCCAAGGACCTGCCCAGCAAGAGGCGGCTGGGGGATGGCAACGCAGGTATGAAAGCCATCTCCTCCTCAGAAATCATTAGGATCTCTAATATGATCTCTGGCCAACGTTGTCCCTGTTTACCGGCATGGGACGTGACTACCAAAAGGGGAATAAAGTGAATAAAGTACATAAGATTTGAGGAAATTTGTAAAAAAAAAAAAAAAAAAAAAAAAAAAAACAGTTCACATTTGAGCTGGGTCTTGAAGGCTACGATGGATATGGGAGACACAAACTCAAGCAGGAGCTCTTTGGGCAGAGAGGACACCTGGGTGGATTCTCTCCTAGGATAAGAATCTGCTCGTTAGGGTTTATTAGAACATTCAAAACAGGCAGCCCCACATGTGCCAACGATACATGGAAACACTGGAGATTGTCGTGTCTTGCAATTGTTATTAATAGAGCCAATGCATTTGTAGAAGATTTGATGAAAAAGTGATGCTGCATCTGTGCGGCTCCCCCAGGAAAGCAGGGGGCAGCGTTGAGGGAACACCAAATCAACACTCATTAGCACAGAGGGTGCCTCTGAGGACGCAGGTCTGCAGCGGCAGGCCCCATCGGCTCCCCCATGCTCAGCCCATGCCATGCACGCACAGAGGGCTGAAGGACCCAGCAGATGATGGATAATCTTGATTATCTAGCTTTGCAGGTAACGCCCAGAAAGGATGAAGATTATGTTTTTCCCCAACCTGGAAGATGGATGGTTTCGCATCAGAAGTCAAGTTGCTCTGCTGAGAATAAGTAGAAGCGCTACCTCTTATGCCCCCAGGCAGACTGAGATCCCTAGCCAGGCGCCTTTTTTATTTTAGTAGAAACTGCCAAGAGATGAGACTATTCACAAACACTAGGACTGCCTGCGAGTGTTCTCCCAATATTCTCTCCTGAATTCGATATCTTTTAAATTCTTGTTAATCTAACTGGAAAAATGGTTTTGGAGTCCCGTTTGGATTTGTATTTCCCTGACTCCCCAGAAGGCTGGACATCTTTTCGTATGTTTACTATCTGTTTGTATTTGCTCTTCAGTGGATTTCTGTTCATATCTTTTGCCCAATATTCTAAGAGGTAATTTCATCTTTTTCTTATTAATCTGAAAGTCTTCTTTATCTATAAGAGATGGCAACCATTCATTGGCTATGGAGAATATTTTCTTCCTGTCTCTTGACGTTGTTTATGGTGCTTTTTTCCATACTCTACATTTTGGATTGCCTATCTTGTTAAGAAAATCTCTCCGTTCCACAGTTTTATAAATATTTAAAATGTTCTTCTATTTCCTTATGTGTATTTCTTCTATCTCATACACACACACACACACAAAGTTAGACAATAGTTAGATGGATCATTAATCCATCTGGAATGTGTGTGTGTGTGCGTGCATGTGTGTGTGTGTGTGTGTGTAGGGCCAAAAGGACTCCGTGCTTCCAGAGTTCAAAGATCCTCATGTGCAGCACCAAATGTGATATGAAGCAGGTACTGAAGTCTATTGCTAAATTCTGCCTTCTACATTTTCTAGCTCGAAAGGCATCTCGATCCTCCCTGCTACTTAAGAAGGAAGGAGAGGGGCTTCCTGCCCATTGCCTCTCCCACAGTTCCATGGCCAGCCACTCTCAAATCTCTGCCACCCTTCTGCCTGAACATCTCTGCTCCTGTCCTCCCCTGGCCCCATGCCGCCACCTCTTCATCCTGGTTCCAGGCTACCATCATCTATCTGAGACCTCTGAAGCCCTGGCCTCCCTGGTTCCTTGCCCCTCCCCTTCCAATCCATTCTCCACCCTGCAAGGGGGAGTCTTTTTAAAGGGCAGCCCCCTCTCAGCCCCCACTGCCTAAAGCCCTTTCTTCTTCCACAGCCCCCACTGCCTTCAGGAGACGGTCCAAACTCCCACGTACGGTGGATCCAGACACTCCCGACTTTTGTTTAAAAAAAAACCAAAAACCTTTGCAGCCTTATTTCTCAAATTGTGTCTCCCAGCTCCACACTCTGGCCAAACTACTTTCAGTTCCTCAAAAACACCAAGCTTCCTTATAAAATACATAAATCACAGGGATAAAAAATACAGCATAGGGAAGGAATATGGTCAATAATACTGTAATAACATCGTCTGGTGAAAGAGGGTAACTACAGATATCAGGCCAAGTGCTGCATAACATATAGAATTGTTGGGTCCCTATGTCATACACCTGAAACTAATATAACACTGTGTGTCAACTGTACTTGAGCTAAAAGAAAAAAACACCACCAACCTTCCTTTTCAATAGATCTCAGTCCTGGCTATGCCCCAGCTCACCTGTCGAAAACTGAACACACATTTGTCCAGGTCCTACCCCTGTGATCCTGATTCAGGAGGTCAGGTGGGTCCCTGTACCCACATTCTGTGACGATCCCCACGGCCACTGCTCTTTTGTCTCCAGGTCTGGGGTATGTGACTCCCTCTGCCTGGGACCCTCCGCGCTTACCTCCTTCATGCGACCCCAGCCCCACGCCACCGCTGGATATCACCTCTTCTTCCTCCAAGTCAAGGTTTAGATGCTCTTTCCTCCAGCCGTGTCTCTATCACCTTGACCATCCAGGTTAGGGCCCCCCCAGTGCTCCCCCAGCCCCCTGGGCTTCATCATCATGCACTCATCACAATGAAATATAACGTCCTGACTTCTCACCTCCCACCTCGGACACGGAGTCCAGGGGAAACCGGGACAGTGTGTCAGTTTGGTTCACCGTTATATTCCCTGCACCCAGCAGAGACCTGACACAGAGCAGGTGCTCCATAAATGATGGCTATTTAAAAAAAAAAACAAAACTGAATGAACGAATTGGATGAATGGATACCTGTGGCAGTTTCCATGACCAGTAAGAACTGCTCCGCCAAGGCAGCACGCAGATGAGCGGTCTGGCCTGCAGAGGGCACCAGCCTGCCTCTTGAGCTCCCTGCCCGCGCGGGCGCTGCCGCCGTCAGTCGGGGAGGCGCCCGATCGCTGCTCCCTGCTCCGCGGTCCTTTCCCTGCGCTGAAGATGAAGTAGGAGTCTGCCTGCAGCCCGTGTGTGAAGGCTGAGTGCTCCCCCCTCACTTCCAGCAGCAGGTACCACATGCCCGGTCCTGCTATGAAAACAGCTGAAACTCCAGGCACCAGTGGCAGCTTTTCCATTCCCAGGCGGGGGTGTGAGAAGGGGTAAGAAGGAGGGAGAAGGACGACGACGCAGAGGAGTACCCGTCCCGGAAAAGCAGAGGAAAGTTCTCTTGTCCGTCTCCAAGCTGACTTTCTCTCCCTCTCCCTCAGCCTGGACTGGACGGGCATCCACCGCAAGCACCTGGAGGGGGATTCCTTGCCTCCAGCAGCAGCAGGTTCTGGACGCTGCCAGAGCCCCAGCTCCCACCCCCCCTCCCTTAGCAATGAACGCTTCGTGCTGCCTGGCTGCTCAGCCAACACTGCCCAACAGCTCAGAGCAGCTCGCGGCGCCCTCCTTCAGCAACCAGAGCAGCGGCGGCTTCTGCGAGCAGGTCTTCATCAAGCCCCAAGTCTTCCTGGCGCTGGGCATCGTCAGCCTGCTGGAGAACATCCTGGTCATCCTGGCTGTGGTCAGGAACGGCAACCTGCACTCCCCCATGTACTTCTTCCTCTGCAGCCTGGCGGTGGCCGACATGCTGGTGAGCGTGTCCAACGCCCTGGAGACCATCATGATCGCCGTCGTCAACAGCAACTACCTGACCTTCGAGGACCAGTTCATCCAGCACATGGACAACGTCTTCGACTCCATGATCTGCATCTCCCTGGTGGCCTCCATCTGCAACCTGCTGGCCATCGCCGTGGACAGGTACGTCACCATCTTCTACGCGCTGCGCTACCACAGCATCATGACGGTGCGGAAGGCGCTCGCCTGGATCGCGGCCATCTGGGCGTGCTGCGGTGTCTGTGGCGTGGTCTTCATCGTCTACTCCGAGAGCAAGATGGTCATCGTGTGCCTCATCACCATGTTCTTCGCCATGCTGCTCCTCATGGGCACCCTCTACGTGCACATGTTCCTCTTCGCCCGGCTGCACGTCCAGCGCATCGCGGCGCTGCCACCTGCCGGGGGGGTGGCCCCACAGCAGCACTCGTGCCTGAAGGGGGCTGTCACCATCACCATCCTGCTGGGGGTCTTCATCTTCTGCTGGGCCCCCTTCTTCCTCCACCTCATCCTCATCATAACCTGCCCCACCAACCCCTACTGCGTCTGTTACACCGCCCACTTCAACACCTACCTGGTCCTCATCATGTGCAACTCCATCATCGACCCGCTCATCTACGCCTTCCGGAGCCTGGAGCTACGTAACACCTTCAGGGAGATCCTCTGCAGCTGTGACAGCCTGAACCTCGGGTAGGGCGCCGCGGCCACTGAAGTGGGCGACGGCTCCGTCGCTGGTGAGCCCCCAACCAGCCAAGGTGTTCGGAAAAAAGAAGAGGGGGTAGATAAATCCTTGGAAGACTTAAAATATGTCAACAGCCATGATTGTACATGTCTTTTGTCTTTGTGCTTGCAAAGCTTTTCAAAGGGGAAAATGGTACATAACAGGCTTTCTCGAAGGATTCCAAAGTGGGTAAGTCACTGATTTCCCAAAGAGGCCCTGGCGGGACTCAGTGAGGGCCCCTCTGGGTGCTGCCTGTATTCATTTCCATGCACCTGGGGTCTGCAATGCCCACCTGCTCCCTCCAGCGTCCTCCCCGTGTCTCCCTGCCGCAAGTCAGACCAGACGGAAGGACTCTCGTTGACTGTAACAGGGATTCGAATGTCTCCCCAGCAAACCTGTCACAGTTCTGGCTGTCAGCTGCTCAGATGGTCTTGTCCTCATTTCGTAAGAGACTGAGTTTCTATTCTATAACTCGATTTACTGTAAAACAATTGCCTAAAAAATACTGAGCTCTGTGTGGAAGAAGCAACGCTATGTATGGCCCTCTCCTCAACCCCCATACCAGCCTCCCCCCGAAAATGAGCATGGGGATGTAACCTATTTCTATTTCGGCTGCTATAGTGCTGTTGTCGGGTTCTTATGCATTAAACCTAAGGCAGCTTTCAAAATTCCAATGAAAGGCAGATACAGGGCTTTGGAAAATCAGCACATACCTGTGTACAAAGTATTTTGATACCTTGCTGTTTAAAGGTATAAATTTCCCTCTTTAAAAAAAAAAAAAAAGGCTTTTTTCTGATTATTCCTTTTCTGTCATTAAAGCAAGAGAGGAAATCATGGATGGGAGGGCACGTGCCTCAAGAAATGGCTTTACTATAGTTTCAGAGAGTTTCAGAAACTGTGAAAATGCCTGTGTTTTTCTCAGAAGCTCTGTTTTTGCTCACAGTAGCCGTGTCTCTATCACCTGATCTCCTGAGTTATCTGTGAAAGAGAAATTTCTTGGTTCACTGCTCCTTTTTTCTGGCATGGTGTAAAAGTTGGGGTGACCCAGCTCTCAATGCCTGTAGCTTATTAAAGAAAGCATTTCATCCCCATGAGCATAGGGTGAGCTGTGCTGACTAGGACTGTCTCTGCATGCTACACGCACCCATCAGACCCTCTCCTGCCCTGGAGAACTTCATGCTGTGCTTTCTGGCTGGCCTCACGCTGCCCCCGACACACACCCCCCCAATGAATTCTTATAATATGCTGTGTCTTTGGTGTACAATTGTGTGTTTTTTCTTGTGCTGGAATATACTGTGGGTTTTTGGTACTTGAAGACATCCTGCCAACAGAAGCAATATCACTTGTCTCTTGCTTTGGTTGTGATGTTTGGAAACAATAAAAGGCTTTTGTGGCTGCTAAACGTGTGACACGTTAAAATATGCCACCCGGGGGCGCCTGGGTGGCTCAGTTGGTTAAGCGACTGCCTTCAGCTCAGGTCATGATCCTGGAGTCCCTGGATCGAGTCCCGCATCCGGCTCCCTGCTCAGCAGGGAGTCTGCTTCGTCCTCTGACCCTATCCCCTCTCATGTGTTCTCTCTCTCTCATTCTCTCTCTCTCAAATAAATAAATAAAATCTTTAAAAAAAAAAAAAAATATGCCACCCGGAAGCATCCTGGTGACTTCTGCACATGGCCCCCACACCTTACACTGTGATTCTGAGTATTTGGTAAATGGCATAAACACTGCCATTGACCACAGTGCTCAGCTTTTCTAGGGCAATGCCCTTCAGCCAAACTACAAAATTCTCCCATTTAGTTTCCAAAAATACCAGGCCATAGTTCCTGGGCCACTGTCACTCTCCATTATTCTAATTGAGATGCCAAATAATAGGTCATGCCCATGGCTACTCAGCCAGCAAATGGGGAAAATGGGGAATTGGAATCTTTGAAAATGTATTAACAGCTGTAAAAATTATGATGTCCCTTTTCTATGTAATCAAGATAAAAATAACTTACTTTTCACTCTCTGATATCAGCTTTCACATTACTTCACTTGCCTCTCAACAAACTTCTAAAATAGGTGAGTCATGTCCCAGATGAAGACCTGGGCAGGAGAGGTAACGTGGCCGTCCAACCACACCCCGCTGGTTAAAGTCACAGTGTATTTTGTGTCCTGGTGATGATGTCTTTTTGCCCCAACACGATGCTGGCAACAGGTTTCCATATTCAGACCCGACTCGGCTCTCCTCCCTGTACGCATTTTAGCTTACAGTGGCACTTCCAGATGTAAATGCCCACAAGAATCACCTGGGATCTTGTTCCAGTGCAAATTCGAATCAGCAGGTCTGGGGTGGAGCCTAAGATTCTGCATTTCTGACTCTGACAAGCGCCCAGGGGATGCAACTGCTGGTCTGGGGACCACCTTTCACAAAGCAAGGGCACAGAGGACTTTCAAAGGAGCATAACGGAAACCCAAAAGTATTCATCTGCCTAGAGTGCTGACCCCGTGCCAAGAACCATGCTAAGTACGTATAGACATTTGCTTCTCTGACCCTTGCAATCACATCACGAGGTAGATACTATGATCACCCTTATTTTGCAGATGAGACACCTGAAACTCAGAGATCAAGGAGCTTGTCTATGAAAATTCAGCTAGCAAGGAGAGAAGCGGAGGTCCAAACAGGCTGCCCAACCCGCATCCCCAAGTCCAACACCAATGCCCTAGCGCCTCTCATGGAAACAGTATAGATGGTTGAGCCATGACCCAATGACATCAGAGGCAATGTGCTGCCATGGAGGGAGACTAATACATATTTCTACAACTCTCAAGTCCAGAATTTCATAATGGAGTTTCCACAGAGATGTCATAAAAACCAAGAGCCAATTAATCATTTTATTTGCTCTCCTTTTCCAAAGCCTATGGGTAGCCCTGGGGAGTACACCTCTTACTGGGGGTTGAACATTAGGCTGACAGGGCCACTTCATGTGGGAACCCACTGAACATCTTCAGCAGCAGAAGTTAGGTTTGAAAATGCTTAATCTGGGTAAATAAAAGCTCATCATGATTTTAACTCACATGTTAAGCTACATTCACCTTTCACTCCCATCCCCAAGGCAAGATCACTGCAGTGGTTGACTCCCTGGGTCTCTAGAAATGGTTGCCTGTTGTCCTTAAGTTGAACTTTTGTGCTTAATTCCTATAGGGCTGGGGGCTACAACATACTCAAGCCTCCTCGGCTGAAAACCTTCACCACCCTCACCTCCACCAAAACCCATTCTCCACACAGCAGCCAGTGCAATCCTTTAAAAATACAAATCAGGGGGCACACCTGGGTGGCTCAGTCGGTTAAGCAGCTGCCTTCGGCTCGGGTCGTGATCCCAGGGTCCTGGGATCGAGCCCCACGTCGGGCTCCCTGCTCAGCAAGAGCCTGCTTCATCCTCTGCCTGCTTGTGCTCTCTCTCTGTCTCTCTGTCAAATAAATAAATAAAGTCTTAAAAAAAAAATACAAATCAGATCATATTGCACTCCTACTCAAAACTCTTCATTGGCTTCAAATAAAATTCCACTTCCTTACCTGGCCCTAGAAAGCCTTAAAGATCTGATCTCCTCTGGTAAATCCCCAACACCCTCCTGCCCACACTTAACCACCCCCACTGGACTCAAACTCACCATACTCATTCCTGCCCCAGGACCTTTGCACTTGCTATATCCTCTGCCTCAAGCTTCTTCCCCCCATATCTTCCCATGCTTGGCACCTTTTTATCATTCAGGCTTCAGCTCAGTCCTCTGAGATGCCTTCCCTGACTACTCTTTCTCAAGAAGACCCCATGTATTCACATGGACTATTATTTTATCACAGATCTTGTTGCTATTTTATATTTTCTTATTAGTTTATTCATTTAATTATCATCAATCTCTCCCACTAGAAAGCAGTGCCCAGCATCTAAAACTGGTCAATAAAGAATATGTATTAAATGAGTAGGTGATTTCATTAATACACTTAAATATGAGTTCAAGTCTAACCAAAGAGAATATAATATGCCAGCGATCCTCAGATTTGGTGAATGTCAGGAGCAAACATGGAGTCTGAGAAAAACAGCCCCACCTCTGAAAATTACAATCCAGCAGGTCAGAGGTAATGCCAGGCATCTGAAATCTTCAAAATCCACAGGCAATTATGATGCACAGCAAACTATGAGGACTACCTAAACCAACAAGCACTGCTCATTTCTGAAGAATAACAAAAACCAGCACCTGGGGGCTTAAGTTTCTTTCCCACCATTCCCTGTCAAGGTGTCAAGCACCTGCAATTAATGTCGGGCCCTCCAAGAACCAACAACGTAAATCTAGAAACTGGGAGCACCAGATGACAAAATGCAGAACAAAAGGAAAACTTGCAATTGAAGAACTCAACCTTTCTCATCTAAGAACACCTATGTGGGAGCCAAATCAATAGAAATAATAATTAGACACTATAGGGTGTTAGTATGTGCCTGTCACTGTGCTAATAAGCGTTCTGATACATTAAGTCGCTGAATTCTTACCAAAAGCCCATGACCTAAGCACTACTACCGTTGTAGCCTACAGAAAAGGAAGCTGGATCGTGGAGGGGGTGAAATCGTCTTGACCCAGGCTTCCAAGAGGGTGAGAGACAGAGCTGGACCCCGTAGCCACCGTCAGGATCCGCACCCCACGTGTGAGCCCCAGCGCCACGCACCCCCAGCTGTGTGTGTTCCACACTGATCACTAACCAGCGTGTCATCAAGCAGGACTGGGTGCAGATTCTACCTCCCTTCTACGCCGGGAGGAGAATAATTCATGAATGCTGGTCTTCACCAAGGGCACAGTTGTGTCACTGATGCTCAGTGAGTCCCAAGTGGTGTCCCATGACTCAAATCCGTTCACTCAGAAAAATCTAAGCCCCCAGCACTTGGCTACGCTGGGTAAAAGTCATTAATAACAACAATAACTAATGTTTAGAGAGTGTTTCATTATATGCCAGATACTGTCCTGGGCACTTGACATATGATCTCGCTGAACCTTCACAACTATCTTCTAAGACCGTGGTTCTCAACCTGGCACCATGTTGACCCCAGGGTCCATCTGGCAATGTCTGCAAATACTCTTGCGGGTCACATCTAGGGTGGGGGTGGTCCTGGCATCTAACAAGTAGCAGCGAGAGCTGCTGCTAAACGCCCTACGATGCACAGGACAGGCCCCCACAACCAAGAATTATCTGCCTCAATGCC